GGAGACGAAAGCAGACGACAGAATATGGTAAGAGAGTAGAAAAGGAGGCGAAAGGATGAAAAAAAGAGAGAAGATAATTTTCCGTCGTTGTCAGGTTTTGAACCCTGGTCCTATTGAATGAGAGGCGAACATCGTAACCTCTAAACCACGACGAGAGTCCCCTGTGTGGGTTGTGAGGATGGGAAGAAGAGAAATGTACTAAGTAGGCAAGCAATGTCCCACTTTCTTCCTCCTCAGGTATGGTGTCTGCCTTGGACGAAGGTGTGGGGAATTTCACTCAGGCGCTCAAGGACAAGGGTCTCTGGGACAACACCATTCTCGTTTTTTCTACTGGTAAGTACCTTTTGGATGCAGTGAGATTTCATGCCCACACCACCACGACCATCTGCAGGGCCCACATGGGTGTGGTAAAAGCTACCAGACTGCACCTCTTCCCCTCTTGGAGGCGTCAGTGGAATCAAACTTGGGACTTTTGTTCCAACCAAGGGTTGAGCGGGAAAATCACTTTCCGCCTTCGACAGGTTAAAACCCTTGGAAGAGAATAAATGATTTCTCTATCCATTTTCAGATTGTGCAGGTTTTTTCTCTTAACACATTGAAACTTACGAATCTCAAAGTTGCGTCTGACATTTTTTTACCTTTAGAGTTACCATGTAGTCAGAAACCAATGTTCTATCTGCTCTATCAAAATCGTAAAATTTTTCGGGGTCGTTATCTAGGTATTATTAAAAGAATGGCGTTCGAAAAAGCCTAACATTTTGTGAAAATCAAAATTATTCACGTCAAATCTTCTCAAAACTAGGTACTCAGTAGATAAAACTGTAATTCCAGGGTAGCGACATGCATAATTTGTATTAAAGAGGAATTTATTTAGGGGTAAGTGGGGACATTCCGTCACGATAAGTTTCTGTCTTGGACAGGTTTCCTACTTCCTTTGACGTCCTCATGTGAGAATCTTTCTTGAAATTGGAAGTTTTATATGAAAAATTTGCTTGTAAACATGTAACAAGTTGTCATATCCCCACCCCAACCTCTTTTTTCTTTCCAATTAAAACACACACACACACACACACACACACACACACACACACACACACACACACACACACACACACACACACACACACACACACACGAGCGCGCGCGGACAATGATGGTGAAACGTAAACATGGCCCTGGGCGACTTCAATCGCATATACAGAACATTCCCAAAAAGCGATAGGTCTATGTTTGTATTTCCTTTAACGTCTAGATGTGAGAATCATTTTGAAATGATAAGTTTAAAACATAACTTTTTGCTTTCAAGTATAATGCCGTCATATTACCCCCCCCCCCCCCTTCCCTGCACATACACACAGACAACGGTGGTGAAACGTATTCTGGTGGCAACAACTTCCCTCTCCGGGGCAGGAAGTTCACTCTGTGGGAGGGCGGATTGCACGGTGTGGGCTTTGTCACCGGTGGGAGGCTGCCGGTTAAAGGATTGGTCAGCAATGAGCTGATCCACGTCTCTGATTGGTTCCCGACTCTGGTGGGCCTGGCCCAGGGCTCTCTCAACGGAACAAAGCCTTTGGACGGATTTGACATGTGGGACACCATCAGGTATGGGAAACCTTACAGCCAAACTCATTTTCACAAGCGTGTTATTAATTTAACAAGTTGAACGTGGCAATGTCCACAGTTTGTTAACAACGTGAATTGTAGTTATCGCATTGCAAACTTAAAAAAAAAAAATCAACAAAAACTCCCCAAATGTGGGATTTGTCTTTGTTCCAGCTTTTACCTTTGCTCGTCGTGGTTTTCCGTTTTCCTCCTCTTTCCCTTTGCAGTTTTGGTTTAGTGAATGAAATGATGATTTAAAATTCAGATGCTCGAGGAGGAAGCCATTTGACCAAAGGCGAATCTTACCTGTCTGAATCTGATGACTTTGATATTAAAGGTTGATCTTTTTCCAAACTAGCAATACAGACACCTTCTATAATGTGATCTGATTTGTGTCAATGGGAGCGCAAAATAATTACAATAAGTCAATCAGCTGAACTGACTGGATAAAGCACATACAGTAATATGTTGGGGGGGGGGGAGGGGGGGGGGGGTTACGGACTTCCCCGAGAGCTTAGCTGGAAGTGAATTTGGCGGACATCTTTTATAATAATATGCTGAAATGTAGTATGTGGGGTTTGTATTTTTAGAGCGATTTTGAGAAGTTTTCAGCAAAAAAGTTCTCTCTAGTGTGTGAACGTATGGATGAAAGCATTGATGCGTCACTGAGTGAGTGTGGACAAAGATTGTACATAATAAGAAAGTTAATTCAGCCCAAAAAAGTGTCCAGGGAAATCCGCGCATTGGTTCAGATGTTTTGAAGCTCTCTTTCGTTTCTCCAGAAGAAGAATAGAAATAGCATAGCACAGTTTGCTTGTGTCACTTTTATTATTTTTCACACAAGTAGGGTAAATCTGGTCGCAAAGTTCTGCACTTTTTTTAGAGGGCGCCACCGAATTTTGAGGACACTTTTTTAATTGGCTCAAAGAGAGGAGTGAACTATCTTGTTATACACGATCTTTGGTGTGGATCAAAGAATTAATACGTACATCTCTGAGTGAGTACAAGAAGATGTTGACAAAAGAAATGATGCATTGCTTAGTGAATGCAAAAACATAATGGATAACATGACTGATGCGTCACTGGGTGAGAGATAAGCCTTCCAAAGAAGGAATTGATACGAAGCAAAGTGGAGGCTAGAACGCATGGCTGATATTTGCAATTGAAAGAGGTCGGGGACGCCTGTTTTAGGGGTAAAATTAGCGAGAAAATGGCCGCTTACGTTTGTTGATTTCCAAAGCTTGAGAATCCTTGGAAACTGAAAGCTTACATTTTTTACGCGTCCGGACGGTTCGGTCTACTAGGTACGTCAAGCTGAACAGCAAAAATGGCCAAAAACACTTGCTGGGTTTGAAAATAAGCACAATTTCAATTTTGTTGTTGCTTTATTAGACTTTTGAATAACTTTTCGGTCGGAAAATCAATAAAACATCTTTAAAATTTGCTCCTGAGTCTGTTTTGAAGCCATTATGGAAAATGTCCTTGTTCTGTAATGGAGTTATTTGTCAAATCTTTGAATGCGAATATCTCAGTATTTGCCTCGGACAGCAGTGAAGCATTCCAAAATTGAATAGTGCGTCATTTCGTTAAATATCGTATTCATTTGATATTTGTGTCATATGAAGGGGAATGATGTCCTCTTTACATCTGTACCAAACACTCAAATTATGAAATATGTACCTAGTGGACCAAACAGACAGGACTCGTCACATTTGTTGAGCGTTTAAGTAATTCATGTTTTTTCCCCAGTAAAATCCACCTAGAAATACCTTTTTAAATGAACATAATAGGTGTTGGGCCAAAAAACAAAAATTATTTTAAAATTGTCAAACTGGCCGAAAATGCCGATATCATCGATTTCATTATTTTGACCAGTGCCTGATTTCACCACGATGTCTCACAAATTATAAAATGATGCTGAGAGGGTGGTACGCCCCTGGGTGAATGCTAGAACGTATCGGTAAAAAAAGAAAACAACTGATACATCGCTGAGTGAAGGTAAGAATATAATAATAAATGGATAAAAGAATTGGTGCGCCACTGGGCGAGTGCTAGAACGTATGGAGAACGTATGGAGGAAAGAATACTTATTGATAAGTCCGTAAGTGAATGATAGAACGATTGGATGAAAGAATTGATTCGTCGTTTAATGAGTGCAATTAGATTTACAAAGGCTCTGGTTCTTCCATAGCCGCGGGACGCCCAGTGAGCGCACCGTCTTACTTCACAACATTGACCCTCTTTTCCCAAAACGGGGAGTGCCTTTGTACAACGACACGTTCGACACCAGCGTGCGGGCGGCTGTGCGGGTGGGCGACATGAAGCTCATTACTGGAGACCCAGGCAAAGGGAAATGGATACCTCCCCCTGGACAGAAGCCAGAACGTGATCCCGGTGAGAGCTGCATATACTCCCCCCCCCCCCCTAATATCCTAATATATATATTACACACACACACACACACACACACACACACACACACACACACACACACACACACACACACACACACACACAATGTTTCCAGCAGTTGTCTTTTCATGCGTTTCGTGTTTTCCTTGTAACAGTGAGTTTCTTTTCTGTGCCATTGTTTAGCAGGTGTTGGTTTTTTTTCCCATATTTCTGGAGCTTTTATTTTCATTTTTATTACTTTCATTACTATTACGATTGTCACCTCGTTGCGTTTCTACTTGTTTCTCTAGCTCCATAAATGTATGTTGTTTCTGAAAATGTGTGATATCTTGATATCATTGTAAATTGTTGTTTAGAAGATTAATTCCACTTCAAAAATTGTTTCTCGAATCGTATTCTTTTTACCTGAATTACAATCACAATGTTTTTGTACAAGTGCCATGTACGTTTTGTTTCTGTCCATACAACACGAGTGTGGATCAAAAAGCAATGGAGAGTGTCGTCTTGCAGGTAAAGTTATGTCTAGTTACACGCGATAAAAAATCGAGGAACAAAATCAAGCACCCGCAGCAGTCATGAGATTATGAGGAGTTCCTCCCCTTTTCCTTTTTGAGGAAGTGTCTACCAGTCTAATTGTTAGTTTACATAATCAGTGCTTGTGACTGCTTATTATAGGTGGGGGGGGGGGGGCGAAAGGGATGGATTGGGTATTATTTATGCGGCAATGGGATAGCTTGAAATTTTGTGCACCCTGCTTGCTGGAGGCTCCAATATGTTTATTTCATTTTGTAAGGTCAACGCCCATGTGTGAATTTCACTGCGACGATGTTCTCAAATTAGAAAAGGGAATCAACGATTATTTGATTATGTAGCGACTTCGCCCCTGAGAGAGAGAGAGAGAGAGAGAGAGAGAGAGAGAGAGAGAGAGAGAGAGAGAGAGAGAAAGGGGGAGGGAGGGAGAGAGAGAGAGAGAGAGAAAGGGGGGG